AAGGACATCGGGGGGTTCTTCCAGAGAGCGGGGGGGAACCCCAAAACGGACTTGTGGGGCGCCCCATAGATGTGGGGGGGGGCCCAGAGATGTGGGGAGAAGCCGTGGGGTGTGGGGTGCCCCATAGATTTGGGGAGAAGCCGTGGGGTCTGGGGCGCCCCATAGATTTGGGGGAGACCCATAGATCTGGGGAGAAGCCGTGGGGTGTGGGGCGCCCCATAGATCCCAGAAGACATTGTTGGATTTGGGGTGCCCCATAGATTTGGGGAGAAGCCATGGGGTCTGGGGCGCCCCATAGATTTGGGGGGCGCCCCATAGATGTGGGGAGAAGCCATGAGATCGGGGGTGCCCCATAGATTTGGGGAGAAGCCATGGGATGTGGGGTGCCCCATAGATGTTGGGGAGCCCCATAGATTTGGGGAGAAGCCGTGGGATGTGGGGCGCCCCATAGATTTGGGGGGAGACCCATAGATTTGGGGGAGCCCCATAGATTTGGGGAGAAGCCATGGGGTCTGGGGCGCCCCATAGATTTGGGGGGAGCCCCATAGATGTGGGGAGAAGCCGTGGGATGTGGGGCGCCCCATAGATCCCAGAAGACATCGTTGGATTTGGGGCGCCCCATAGATGTGGGGCTGAGGGGGGGACACACGGACACTGGACGTCTCCCCAAATCTATGGGGCGCCCCAAAAGTGATGGCGTCTCCCCAAATCTATGGGGCACCCCGAAAATCTATGGGGCGCCCAGAAACAGCCTTCATCTCCCCACATCTATGGGGCGCCCCCAAACCCACCGTCATCTCCCCACATCTATGGGGCACCCCGAAAATGATGGCGTCTCCCCAAATCTATGGGGCGCCCCGAACCTGCCTTCATCTCCCCACATCTATGGGGCGCCCCCAAAGTGATGGCGTCTCCCCAAATCTATGGGGCGCCCCGAACCTGCCTTCATCTCCCCACATCTATGGGGCGCCCCCAAAGTGATGGCGTCTCCCCAAATCTATGGGGCGCCCCGAACCTGCCTTCATCTCCCCACATCTATGGGGCGCCCCCAAAGTGATGGCGTCTCCCCAAATCTATGGGGCGCCCCGAACCTGCCTTCATCTCCCCACATCTATGGGGCGCCCCCAAAGTGATGGCGTCTCCCCAAATCTATGGGGCGCCCCGAACCTGCCTTCATCTCCCCACATCTATGGGGCGCCCCGCACCTGCCTTTGTCTCCCAACATCTATGGGGCACATCTATGGGGCGCCCCGAAAGCGATGGGGTCTCCCCACATCTATGGGGCACCCCCAAACCCACCGTCGTCTCCCCACATCTATGGGGCACCCCGAAAATCTATGGGGCGCCCCAAATCTATGGGGCGCCCCGAACCTGCCTTCATCTCCCCACATCTATGGGGCGCCCCCAAAGTGATGGCGTCTCCCCAAATCTATGGGGCGCC